AGAGGCATAATGCGTTGCTGTTTGTAAAGCGCTATGAAATCCTCGGATGCTGTAGAAGTGCAAATTATTATGACTAGTGGCTTATTTACTTTTATTTGAAGAAATGTCTCGTTTTGGGAACTCCGTAGACGAAGCTCGGGCTTTTCTCTGCACGCCAGGCACGTGGTGCGAAATGCCAGAAACGCTGTAGGCTATAGTGATACACAGATCATAAAATTCAGCTAAGACAAGCCTCGTTCTTCGAAAGAACCGACTGTTCCAACTCAAGCTGATTGCATTATTTATTTGTAACTATCCGTACAACGTATGAGCAGTAAGGGGACGGGGGTCATGTCTTGAGCTTCTCGTGCTGTGAGAGGGAGCTCACAAGATGTGCAAATGCAGATCCCGGTAGGCTTGGGTGAGAAATCGCTGAAAGGGACAGAAGGAGGGAAAAGGGGAGTTCAGAAAGCCAGACCCCAGGGCTGCTGCTTCTTGCAGCCCCTCAGCTGGTGGAAATCGGTATGGCTCCCCGGGAACCCATAGCTCTGGGCCGATTTACACCACCTGAGGATTTTCCTCCTTTGGCGCCTAGAGCCATGAGCGCAGTTTTTAAGTCCATTATCTGTACCCGCCCATTGTCTTTCCCTGACTGTTATCACCGAAAGGCAGCGGACTGGATTCGTCTGTCCGTTGCTACCTTCGCGCTCTGCCCTCGCACTGTAGCTTTCATTTCATCCATTTACATTCTTGCCCTCTCCCCCTACAGGGGGCTGGGTGTCCCCCCCCCTTGCTTTTGATATTGGTTACATTTAAAAGAATAAAATCTATTTCACCCTCATACTTCTCCCAGCCTGGTCTGGAATCAGCGAATAAGCGCAAACGTCTCCAATGGCTCGTTTGTGGTCTTTCTAACTGCGCTAAGTGTAACAAACAAATCCGCGCTTAGACCTGGAGAGATTCCCAAGGCGGGGGTTGGGGGGGGGTAGAGCTCCCCTTAGCTACCGGACAGAATGCTACGTTTCTAACCTTCCCTCTTGTCTATTTCAGCCTTGCTATTTTCCCTTTATTATTCCCTTGACTCTTAGTTTACCCATTTCCAGCCCCCGAGCAGCAAAAAGAGCGCAGATCTGCTCCTTTCATTCACATCTCTTTGGGTTCTTTGGGGCTGAAGATCTGGACTGACCAAAATAATCTGTTTTAAACCGCTGCTTGTGTTTCCCTCCCGCCAGGGTCAAGACATCGTTCTTTCTGGACTCAGATTTGGTTTTCGTTTCTTTTCTTCTTCTTCTTCTCTTCTCCTCTCCCCTCCCCCCTTCGTTCTTTTTGACCAACTGGGATTTTTCACACACTGTCCTCCTTTCGCATAGTCTATTGATCTCAACGTTTATTAAAAACCAGCCTCTGTAACGTGCTGTCATCCGGGCACAGGAAGAAGAAAGTACACTGGGTAGGTGAGGACAGGGGTCACTCAGATGTTATGAGGCATAGTGCATTCATGTCTGTAAAGTGCTTTGAAATCCTCAGATGCTGGAGACGTCTAAATTATTTGTATTTCATTAGGGGAAAAAAAGATTTTTTTAATTCATTACCCAAAGTTGGGGGCAGGGACGAGAAGGGACGAAAATAAGCAAGTCTGTACGAGTCACTACTAAAATACAACGAACAAGCAGCCTTCGATTTAAGGGATCTTTCTGCTTTCACCAGGAAAGAGCAAGTTGTTCAATATCCTTGTGACCTGTGCCCCGCTCGAGAGCCTCCAGGAAAAGTTCTCCACAAGTGACCAATGTATAGGCTTGGGAAGTGCAATGAACACAAACCCCATTGTGCCTAAGGAGGAAGCGAGCCCCCTGCTGCTCCTTCGACCTGTCCCCATTTAGTCCAATTGTAAGGAATTCGGCAGGACAATGGGAGTTCGAATATGCAGGCACAGCTGGTAGGGGCAGGAAAAATGATCGACGAAAATTCATTGGACACCCATCACCCACCGAGCCCTTTGCATTAATCAGATGCTAGCAAGCCAAAGCAGCCCTCTTCCCTCACATTCCTTGAGACAGGTCAATAAACCCAAAACACCCCCCCGCAGTTCACGCAAATCCTTTATCGAAAGGTTGGGTGGAACCCCATTTTCTGTATAGACAACCCCCCCCACCCCCCCCCCCACACACACTTGATCACAATTTTCCAATTTTGATATTTGCTGAGTCAAAACGGACGCTGGCAAAGTTACAGTGAAAAATAAAAACAAATCAGCCTGCTAGCCGCAAAGATCAGTTTTGCTGAAATTGGTAGTGGGAGGGGGCCACGCAAAGCGTCTGAGTTAAGTATCATCCCCTAATGTAGATTTAACAAATGATATTAACAAACCGCAGAATCAACAAGGAGCGAAATAGACACACATCTTACACTGTAAGTGATTACGGGTTTAGATCCGCTAAAAGTGTTCTCCTTCCAGGCGGCGTGTTATTGTATTTTTATTCTTACGCATAAATGATTAACAATGAGCGTTTACAAGGGCACAACCAAAAACCAGCTTAAATTGATCCGAAGCACACACCCGGTGCGGGAATTGGCAACACACAGCCCAGGAACTCGGCGGATCATACGAATGGTCATTTCGAGCAAGGAAGGAAACATTCTGATCTGGGACCGTGATCAAATAATAACGTGTTACATAAAGCCAAGGGCGGTTCTTATCAGCCAACCCGACCTGAGGATGAACAACCCGCAGGAACCGATCCAAAACCAATCCTGTTAAAGGAGCAACTGTGAAATGCCAACTCTCTCTCTCTCTCCCCCCGCGCCCTCCTCCCCACTAGATCAACATCGCCTGTCTGTAACTAGGGCTTTTAACCAGCAACCGAGTGTGTGTGTGTGTGTGTGTGGGGGGGGGACAAATCCTCCCTTAACAAGATTTATCAAGAAACATTTAACTGGGCTTTAATCATATTAGCAAGAGCCCAATTAGGGCTGCGAGAGAAGCGAGAGGAAGAGAGGCGGTGTGGGGAGGGAAGGGACTGGAGGAGGAGGAGCCGTAGATGGTGTCATCTGAGGACAAGCTCCTTTCACCAGGGGCTGCGCATCCCCGAGCGAGGGCGGGCGCGATCAGCAAACGCTTTCGTACCGTGCCATTTCCTTTCCCTGCAGGGGGCGGGGGCGTGTGTGCAGGACTATTAAGGCCCCGCCGATAGCTTTTAAATTATGGTTCTGAAGCTATTGTGTTGTCTCTCTCAGGAATAAAACAAGAGCAGGGAAAGGAGAGAAGGAATCAAGGCAGCTTCAAGAGACTGGGAAGGGGGGCAACTAATGTGTCATAGATAGGTGGTACGGTCAGATAGTTACACAGGTGCTGGAACTAGGGGTGCGGGGTGCTCCAGAACCCCCTGGCTTGAAGTGGTTTCTAGCCTATACAGGGTTTACAGTTCGGTCCAATGGCTCTCAGCACCCCCACACTATACAAATTGTTCTAGTACTCCTGGCTAATATCAACGCGCAAGCACTCGTGTAAAGACCTACCAAGTCTCACTCCTGGCAAGGAGATCATCCCCCGGCCCTCATTTAAGGAATAATTGTAAAGGCGCTTCCCCTGATTCCCCCAAGCTTGCTGTGCCTCCCAATGAGTCATCCCCCCCCCCAGGTTTGCTTTCAGGACCCCGTCTCCCCAACCCCCACGTTCATTGTCACACGCTTGAACATTCGCTCTTTTCTTTTCTTCCCTCCCGCCCCTCTAAAGCGGATGAAACACGGTTCCAGCCGTTCCCAAGGGGAGCTCTGGCCTCCTGCTGCGTTTAATTCGAGTTGGAGGTGTTCGAATTCGGGCGGCTCCGCGCCCTCTGCGCCCCCCCGGAATCAATGGGGGAAGAACAGTTTTTTGGAAGACATTAAGGGGGCGGAGGGGAAGTTTCCATTGGGGCAGAAGGGGGCACTTGATTAGCGGTTAAATTTCTGGTTTCAGGCCCTGGAAGGTTAAGCCTCCGCTCAGTGCACGATCCCCGGGGAGCAGGGGGCATTTCGAGTGTTTCTTTCGTTTACTGGCTCGGTAGGACTTGGCCTGTTTCATCTGCCAGGAAAACGGTGGCAGGCGAAACGAACGAAATCAGTAAGGGGAGGCGATGAAATGCGCCCCCCGCCCCGGATCCTGAACCTGTTCGGGCCACCCAAGAAATGTTTGGTCGGGGGATGGGGTTGGACAGTGACCAGGGCGCAAAGCAAAAAATCGTCCTGAGTTAAAAGGGGAAGGGACTTGACCACCTGAGGAGAGAGCCGTGCCCCGGTGCCAGCCTAGGAGTAAGGAGCTAGGACAGCTAACTAGCCGGGACCTCTGGGCGCACTGATTTTGCGACGCGCCTCGCTGCCGCCCTTTCATTTGCTTCCAGGTTTTAGGTGATAAGCTCCTTAGATAACAAGACACCTTTTGCCCAAGCGGCTCCGGCTCTTTGCTGACGCGCACTGTACAAAGGGTTATTGGTTTTAAAGGGGCGGAGGGCAGGGTTTAAACAGGGGCTTCCGGGTTATCATTCATTATTATTTTATTCAGATGAATTATTTATTTTCCCTCCGCATGCAAAATATTGAGGATTTGTCTCTCTGCCCCTCCCCCCCCCCGTATCTGTCCGCTACCTTTCAATATAAGCAGGCAGTTTTTGGCGAGCAACAGTCAACTTTGCAGAGCGGAGAGGGCTCCAGGGGGGCTGAGGTTAAACTGACTTGCCAAGGAGTCCCTGCCAGCCGTCAACACCCATCTCTCTGCTGCTACAGCCCAGTACAAACAAGCCCTGCTGGACGCTACCCTCCCGGCTTCCAGATGTTGCAGGCCCGCAACATCTGGAAGCCGGTCCGCCGAGCGCTCCGCGGCAGCGGGGCATTCTGCAAGGAAAGATACCCCCACCTCCCCGCCCCCACACCCCGGCACAGCGCTCTCCCCACGCCGCTGCTCCCTCCTCTCCTGCGGCTGCCGCCGGCAGCTTCCTCCTTGTTTCTGTCTTGGCGGCAACCTGTGTCTGTTTCCCTTTGAATCTTACCTTGCCAGTGTGTCTGCGGAGCGTATCTAGGGCCCCCCGCCTAACTCTACGTGGCCAGGGGCATCTCTAAGAACTCTACAGAAGGGGTGTTAGCTGCCTCCGGCACTCGGAGCCCCAGCCTTGCGCGCGCTCCGCTGGCTGCTGGCAGCCGAGCCGGGTTCATCTGAGGACAGCGGCGGCTCCAAGCCTGCGCTCTAGTCTGCCTGCCAATGTCTCCGGCATACTGATGTTGCCGAGGCGGCCTCGGCCGGGAGGTGACTCTCAATGGGCCACAGCAGCCGCCGATTAGCGGAGCAGCAAGTCAACCGCGAGGGAGGCACGTCTTGGCCGCGCCGCTCTCCTTCCCCATAACCTTGTTCTGCTCCGCTGCGGGATGGAGGCCGGAGACACACGGGACCACCCCCAGCCTGGCCCCTCCGACCCCCAGCATTTACACCCGTGCATCCCCCTTTACAACAGCGCAGGGGGCATTGACTCGGCAAACCTGCCCCGGAAACGCACCTGCTCTCCCCTGCTTTTGCCGCCTACCGTAAGAGCAATTTGCTTCCGCTCGGAAACCAAAGGCCGGCTGGTATGACTGCGAGTCAGTGCTTTCCAGAGCCAGTCTGCTCCTTTCGGAAGTAATGAGGAGTTTTGGTTTCTTCCCCCTGCCAGCCTGCCCGGCCAGCTCCCCCTGGGATCTGAAAGTCAAGCTCGGTTCTTTCTGGATTCTGCACCATCACTTAGCCATGATGGCGGTTGAAGATGGGTGAGCCCACGCAGAATCCGCCTCACTCCCCCAGGGCTGTGCTGGCCCTGCAGTGCTGAACAAGTGAAAAAGAGTGAGCTTTACTTTTTAAATAGATGATTGCCCAGAGTGGCTATTTGGTGAGGGATGGCAAAAGCAAGGTGCGGCTTTCATGAATGGGCAGTATGTGTACTGGCCCTGCAGGGTTTGGGGTGGATGACTGCCTCCTTATGGGGCCTAGTGAGCACAGAGGGGATTTAGCTGGGCACACCAGAGCTTGACTGGAAGCATGGATGCCCCTTGACAGAAAAGAGAATTTCTCTATCTAGGGCACAAGCAGAGCTGGAACTGTGCCTCGGTACTGAGTACAATGTGCATAGCTATCTCTGTATATGCATCTTTAATTCATACTTTACTGTAGTGTTTAGGTGCCATATGCAAAATTAAGAGTCACATTTATATCTGGGTCCAAATATGAACCATTCTGCATTCTAAGCTGCCTTCTGAATTGATATTATTCTTTGTGGTTGTCTTTCAGGGAGGGTAGGGGGCGGAAATCTTGCCAGGCTGTTGTGCTGGTCTCTGTAGCTGCAGGAAAGACCTTAGTGCAGGGGTGGGCAAACTACGGCCCGGGGGTCGCATCTGGCCCTTCGGACATTTTAATCTGGCCCTCGAGCTCCTACTGGGGAGCGGGGTTGAGGGCTTGCTCTGCGCGGCTCCTGGAAGCAGTGGCACGTCCCCGCTATGGCTCCTATGCGTAGAGGCAGTCAGGGGGTGCCACACGCTGTCCCCGGCCCAAGCAGCTCCCATTGGCCAGCAAACAGGGCCAATGGGAGCTGCAGTGGCAGCACCTGTGGATGGGGCAGCGCACAGATCCGCCTGGTTGCACCTCCACATAGGAGCCAGAGGGGGGACATGCCGCCTCTTCTGGGAGCTGCTTGAGGTTAGCGCCGCCTGGAGCCTGCCTCCCTGACCGTCTCCTATGCCCCAACCCCTTGCCCCAGCCTCCAAACCCCTCGGTCCCACCCTCCTGCACCCCAGAACCCACACCCCCAGTGGAGTCCTCATCCCTCCCTCCCGCACCCCAGCCTGGAGCCCCCTCCCGCACCCTGAACTCCTCATTTCTGGCTCCACCCCCGAGCCCACACCCCCAGCCAGAGCCCTCACCCCCTCCCGCACCCCAACTCCCAATTTCATGAGCATTCATGGCCCACCATACAATTTCCATACCCAGATGTGGCCCTCAGGCCAAAAAGTTTGCCCACCTCTGCCTTAGTGGGATGAGTTTTGTACCAGCCAGGCCTGGCAAATTGCAAGACTCTGGCTCTTACTGACCTCTAGTGTCAGTGTATTCTACAATTCAGGGCCCTCCGCTGAGAATGCTCTGTGCTTGACCCTGTATGGTTTCACCCTCGGGATCATCAGTTCCAGCTGAGCTACTATCGTGGAGTTCAGAGGAAGAGGTGGCGATTGAGGTAGCTTGGCCCTTGTTTCCTTATTTTTTATTATTTCCCTATTGAACAAGACTTTTGCAAAGGCTCTGGAATCAGACATAGTGCCAGTGGAATATATAGAGCATAAGTGTGATGAACTTCTGATGGTCATTCATGGTTACCAAAATGTCTGTTAACTATTTGTGGTGTCCATGGAGTCTTCGTGGCAAGGCTCTGATAGAGCATGGTGCAAAAACCTTCATGTCGAGCATTCACACATTTTCCTGCTTCTGTTCAAACAAATTCAAACCCAAGTCTTTGTGTTGATCTCTTTTTAGACATTTATACTATGTAATGTGATCACTGCAATGCTTTTAAGAAACATGCCATGTCAATTGCAGAATGTATTAACTGTGCAAATGGTGGACACTTGGTAAAGGACACTTGGCCATTTTGATTGTTGTGTGTATAATTCCAAAAGCAATTGCACCCTAATATGTAGATATCATTAAATACATTTTAATTTTGAATTCAAAGCCAATTTTTAATTATACAAGCTAAAAACAATTTTTAAATAGACATTTCTTTTTAAACTCATAGGACTGAGTCCTGTGTTCCTTGCATATGCACAGGAAGTTCTGAGTGTGCAGGGAATGCAGGATCAGGCGTGAATTTTTAAAACAGCCAAAGCTATTTGTCTCAAATGTGCTAAAAAAACCCCAAACCGCTGTACCCTGGGGCTGGAATCATGTCATCAGTGTTTCAGCATGAAGTTAATTTTTATGTGCTCAGTGTAACCCTTTGCGATAAAAGAGCAGAAGAGGCTGTTATAATAGAAATGCTGATAATGCTAACCATAATGGTGTGAACTCACGACTATAATAAGACCTTCACCTCAGCTAGCAGCCTAATTCCAAAGAGCTGATGTTATCCACTAATGTAATCAGTTTGTTGGCTGTAACATAGGAAACTGGGAATTGGTCTATTTTATTGCTATTTTTGGCATAAAGATTTCTTTAAAAAACAACAACAGTAAGATGCTAGGATTCAGGCAATTAGATTTACCTTTATTGTTTTAAATAATAAACCCCCATTCTTTTCTTCATTTACAAATGTATAGTTTCCACTTCAGTGCAGATTGACAAAAGCATATTTTAGAAAGGGACAACAAGTGCTTTTCAAGGGCTAAAACATGCTTTCAGACTAGTGACCAGTATTAAGGAAAGACCCAATTATGGAAATGGTTGAAGGTTTACGGGGGGCGTCTCAAAGCACAAATGATCATTTTAGAAAATAGAAGTTTCCTCCGGGGAAGTTGATGAATGAGTTCTGAGTGATTTGCAGATGCATCCTAAGGGGGGATGGGAAGAAGAAAAGAAATGACAGATGCCCTGTTAATAATTTAGAATTATGTTTCAACAGCTAATGAAATTGCATCAGATATGTGAAAAATTGGAAATGACTGCTTATGCATTTGAGCTGGTAAATTCAACATTTGTCATTCATACCTCTTTCTTTTGATACATTTTTTTTTAGGGAAGCTGCATTCAGTGACTCTTGGAGGTAACTCCATTATAGATCTTAATACAAAGCACGTCCAATTAACTTTTATGCAGTATCAGATGAAACCCTCCTGGGTGAAATCCTAGCCCCACCCTGAAGTCAATGGGAGTTTGTCATTGATTGTTGTGGGGGGCAGGATTTCACCCAGTGTGAATAGCAGTATTGTATTGTCATAGAAAATTAAAAGGATAGAAGCAGGCTGAGTAGCCCATCAAGTCTATTTGTGGAACTCTGATTGACTTTAATGGAATTCCTCACACTTTGGGCCTGATTCAAAACCCATGGGAGTCAGGGTCATGGATGGCTTGTTGGACCAAGTCCTTTATCTCCCCACCTTGCCATTACTAAAGATATTAGTTAAAGTATATGAAGGCATTTAAAGTGTAGAAAAGAATGAATGTAACCAAATAGTAATTGTCTCTCTAGTTCCTCACTTTGTAAATAACAAAGAGAGCAACAAAAATACCTTGACGTACAGCAGAAGAAAATGTGCAAATTCTTGAAAATTCTATCAACAAATCCTGAAAATACCCTAATGGCTTTTATTTGGATTTGTTTGAAATTTCTTGAAAATCATGCCTTCTGAATTATACACGAATACTGTTCTACTTACAAGTGAGTCACATGCTTGTCTAGGACTCTTGAAAAGTAGGCTAAAGCCACTACAGTGACTACCTTGTTCATCTGATTAGCTTAAGGCAACATTAACCCTCTTCTTAGACTTGTCACCTAAGCATAGTCTTACTGCAGATATTACAACCATTTGTGAATGTATGCACACTGAGCTGGGGAAAGTCTCAGGGAGTGCAGTTGCTTGCTATCAGACTTAAATACAGAAATGTCTCAGAAGATCTGCATTATATAGCTGTTGGTCCTGCATATTGCCAAGCTGACTGGCAAAGGGGTTTTAAGGCATGTAAACAATTCCAGAGTTGTTCTTAATCACATAATTGAAGAAATAAGACAAAGACGATGTAATGAAAGCTGCAATGTTTTGTTTGTGTAAGGTAAAAAATGAGTGATTATTGAGCTGGGGTAGGGAGACAAGGAAATGCTGGGTAAAAATAATTTCTAAGCGGTATTCCCAAGTGGGCATTTTCTTCCTCTTTTATTATCTTGTCTGTAGCACACAGGGAAATTTACAAGATATTTATTGTTTATGATTTATATTGTGAAGACCCAAATAGGGCCTTATTGTGCTTTGTGCTGCACAAACATGTAGGAAGACACAGTCCCTGCCCCAAAGGGGGCAGAGGGTGTGTGTGTATGAGGAGGGGAAAGGGGATCTATACATCAGTGATGTGATCAGGGTGATGGTAGACATGCTAATTGTTAGCTCTTCTTTTTTAACCAATGTTCATTTGATTTCTGTAAATGTTTGTTTTTATGATGGTAGCTAGAGTAGGACCAGGGGAAGTGCGTGTGTGTGTGTATGTTTAGTTAAAAAAAAATAAAAGGGAGCAAGGGGAAGGTGTATTGAGAAGGTCGGGGAGGAAGGGTTGTTTGGAGAGCAGAGAGGGAATACTGTATGGAAGGCAGGGAGAGTGAGCTGCCATCAGAATGGCTGTGATTGGAAACAGGTTTCAGAGTGGTAGCTGTGTTAGTCTGTATCAGCAAAAATAACGAGGAGTCCT